TGCCTTGCTAATGTTTACATCCTCAATTTCAAAAAAACATGCACATTCATATTTGAAAGAAAAAACCGTTAATCTGAAATTTTCCTGCAAAAAACATTAAGATGTTTGTATGTTTTGTTTGGAAACTTATTAACTTAATGATTTTTTAACAAGTATTAATTTATTTCAACCAGTTTTTGTGTCATTAGTAAAATAATATAATTATACCTTTAGGTTATATATTTATTAATTTGCTGAACAAACTTCTATACTAGCTTGAGTTTTAATTTACTATTATTAATTCAGTACATCGGGACTAAATATTAAAAATGCTATTGGGGCAACATTAAAAAACATAGCTTTTACAAAAGACTAACTATGACACAAAATCTAGACAGCTTAAGCCCTCAGAATTAGGGTGGGCATTCGACAATGCAGACCTAACTGCCAACCTAAAAGTGTTTGAGGTTGGCAATTTTTCACCGACCTGGTTTCTATGTTTTATGGGAAGACCTTTGTGTCAAATTTTTTTTGCCTATTTCTGAAAGATTAAGGTCGGCAAATTATTGGCAACCTCATTTTTCCTCATTCCGCAGGTGCAGCTTTCAAATGTTCATATACATAATGTTCATTAATAGAGATATTTAAAATGTTTCCTGTGAAGATTACTCAATTTGTTAGATAATACCATGTTGAATATGAATGCCTTTGATCATTTTAATACGAGTGTAGTTGAATAATGTAAATCTATATAATCAGGGTGGCCAACAAACTTTAATGTTCATTTTTCATGACTTTTGCATAAAACTCTAATATACAAAGCAATAAAAAATTTCAAACAACCTTTTACTTTACCTAAAAACATAAACTTGGTCTCATTGACTTTTAAATAATGATGTTATTATGAGACTTTGAAATAGATTTTTTGCAGTCTTATTTTGATTGTCAAATAATAACTTATAGTATGCAACTAAATCCATCAAAATTACCTGACTTTTGCATAATTATTTAATTCCTTGACTTTAGCAGTTTTAAAGTTTAACTTTTACAAAGGATGTCAAAGTTACCTTGATTATTTTTTAAATAATAAAAGTAAATTTATAGAGAAGCATTATTATTTACAAATTAAAAATCTAAATCATCTAATCTTTTCATAACCTTTTTGTAATTTACTGAACTCATGCTATAATTTTTTCAAGACTAGGCCTTATCAATTGCTGCTATTTTCCATACCATTTTTTGTTGATTTGTTACTACTTTTTGTTACAATTGGCGATATTAGGTGATCTAATCACTGCACTTAGCATTCTAAATTACTACTTAAAAATATTAAATTATGATGTTGTTATTTATTAAATTTCAAAAGATTTATATAAATTTCAAAAGCAATATGAATATCAAAGCTCATAAGGATTTTTGTTTTTGTTTTACAAGATCAATCTGAAAATAAAATTTGCAGAAGAACATAAAATATATACATGAAATGTTTTACTAGCAAAATTTTTATTTTTACAACAAAAAAAAAATTTAAACTAATTATTTATGTAACTAATTATTTTTATGTAAAAACATTTATGTATTATTATGTATAACATTTTTTTATGTAATTAATTATTTCAATCATTTTTTAAAAAGAAATCAATATTTTATTTAAGGATATAAAAGAAATGTAAAAAATACTTATAAAGTGTATTTATATTATGAGCTTATGAATTTATACTTTATAAAGTTTTAATTTTTTCTGCCAACAAGTATGTTGGCAGAAAAAACATGCAGTTGTTTACAAAAAGATGTGATGTTGCATGGAAAGTCATCTATAAAGTGAACATCTGAAAATTGCCTTACTAACAACAAATTTCCTCCCTGTACTATTGGTAACCAAAATTACTAGAAAGCCATTATTTTTAAATTGACTTTTGAGTCAACGCAAAAATAATGAACAGTTGATGCTAAATCTTAAAGTCTATCTTGGACTATATCATAGATTTTAAAAGCAGAATCAATTTTGAAATCAGTAAACTTTGAACCAGTTGGAGAGAGTATTGAGTATTTAGAGAGTATTGAGAGTATTTTTTTAAATAAAAATAACAAAATAGATATAAAAAAGTATTTTTTTTATACCTATTTTGTTATTTTTATTTAACAAAAATGATTATTTACAAAAAAATAACAGTACCTGAACCTAACCCTAACTTTCCCCCTGCTCCAACCCAAACAATCAGCATATGCAGCAACACTACTTGCCATGCTCTACTTATTGTCTATTATTCAATCAAAGCACTGTTTCACAGTGTTTCACAGTCAATCATCTTATAAAACATACACATGTATGATTTTAAAAATGGCGCTTAAAAACGAAAGTAAACTAAATAAAAATGAAAACAAAAACCATAAACTAAATTAAGAAAATAAATCTTAACCTAAGTGAAAATAAACAAAAGTAAAAAAATAAGTTATAAACCAAACCTTTATCTTTTAAATTTAAAAGCATTCTGCTTAATAGACTTGCATAAAGATAAAA